TTTATTATATATCACACGGACAATCTTATACATTTCTGGTATAGGTTATGTTATTGTACTTTAAACATTTTGAAAAATATTGACAAAGAACCCACACGCAACACACACCCAGTCAAGTTCTATAAACGCCTTAAATTAAATGTTTATGACCAAAAACTTTTTTTAAGAATAGTTTGTGATTTCAAGAACTACGATGATCTTTATAAATGTTTAATACTAATGTTTTATTGAATTTGCTAGCGTTGTTATACTTAAACAATGGGTAATAGTATATGTATTATAATGATAAATATAATATCATCATGAATCAATCATTGGCGCCCGGAAGGGGAAGGGCTTTTGCCTTCCTTATGTACTTTTTGGTGTTTGATTTCATTATGCCTCTCTCTGCAAAATTTCCTGCGTGCGCCTATGGCATGAATGTAAATTATGCAATACTTTTTTTCACACAGATATATTATGTAGTAATTTATAATATAATATTACTAAACTAGTTTTACGTCAGTTTTTAACCATTCTATGCTAATTGATTGAACATTTAACAATGCTAATTAAGTAAAAAAAAAATGATTAATATTAGTATTTGATGATTGGCTGAAACCTATTATCGCTTAATATTAATAAATCAGTATGTATGCCAATAGTAACTAATACCTCACAGCTTCCCGTTGACTATAACTTTGTAGTCTATAAATGTGGTACGGATACAGCCGGTTGTGACTGCGAACCAATGAAAATGGTACTATCCTTTAAATATTTAGGATTACAACCTTAAATGGTCAGACCACTTACAAAATATTAAAAATAAAATAAGGAGGTTAGCAGTACTATTTTATAAAATTCGTTTCTTAAATAAAGCAACAATAAGAAATGTATACATGGCTTTGTGCAATTCAATTCTACTATATGGTATAACTTGTTGGGGTGGTGCTAATAGAACAGAAATTGCTACATAAAAGTAGCCTACTCCCTCCTATTAACATATCCTTCAGCGGAATTATTTAGTTGTACAAATATATTATCTGTCTATAAACTATAAATTAGACAAATCTTAATAAAATCCATACTGAGGCATAGACTAAAAGATATAGAAATTTTAGAGAGGAGAACAGGAAAATTTATAAAAACGCCATTTACATCCCTTACTAGCTCAAGAAGCTCCCCTGATTACATGTGTAAAATAATATTTAATCATTTTGATAGTGGTGTAAAAAGTCAAATTAAAAAAGTATGTGAACTCTTTTCAAACAATACCAATGCCCTAACTATTAAAAATTATATTAAAAAATTATTAGTTAAAATAGTGGGTGACCTTGATGAGAATGTGTGTGTAAATCAATTATTAAAATGTCGTTATGTGTAAGAATGTTATAAGAAATTAAGTATTTGTATTATAGTATTATCCGATTATCGTTTATTATTATTTTCATTATAATTGTGTTGTGTTTTCATTCTATGTTAGTAAACAGTATACATTGTCTTATTATTAGAACTCCGTATGTCAGATACGAGCAATTTAGCTCAGTTGGCATACGTATCAGTAGTATTATATTGTATTTGTTTGTTAGTTTTTGTATAAAATTATATTAAATACTGAATAAAGAAAATAATAATAATAATAATAATAATTTGTAGTATAATGATAATTGTAACGAGCCTGCTCGCCTAGTTGGCTAAACTAGACTGAACGGTCACCGATAGGATTAAATGAGCGGATCTCGGCTCGAGAACGGGAAGCTAACCCGTGTCTACGCTTAAACAAAACCCAAAGTCCCCTTTAGAAATGTATTTGTACCGCACGACGGGCTAAACGGGCGGTCGTGCCTTTAAATGACGTAACTCTTAAGTAGGCAACTATAAATATTTATTTATAAGGTAAAATTAACTATACAATATATGTATGTAATACACTTCTACCTGGGTCCCTGAGATTGTCAACCGGTCCTGGAGAAGCGGAGTTGAGCGAATACACACGATGTGAGATAAGAGTAAACGTTGTCAAAGCGTGATAAAATGATGTAAGTTATATGAGGGCTACTGGGTAGTTGATCGCGGTTCAATGATGGTCAGGTCTCCACTGATGGTCGTGGTCGGTGCGGAAGCTTTTGTCCTGTGTGTTCGCTGTCTCTCCTATCTATTGTCTTATTGACAAATGCTCAGTAAGCATGTTTTAGGGCCAGCGGTAACGGGGTGTCAAGTGTACCCGTTACAATATAATATCATCATGAATATAAATTCTGTAATTCACACGGACACATTATTATGTAGTAATTTTTAATATAATATTATTTTAAAAAAAATTACGTACATTTTTAACAATTATATGCTAATTGAGTTAAAAGATTACTATTTCCCACACGCATTTTTATTTATTAACTTAATAAAAATATTATATAAAAGACTGTGTTCATTAAATTATTTTAGTATGCACACAAGAACATATCAGCTTGGACTAGTTGGCATCGTAAGTACACAGAGTTATTTTGTTATACATTCTTAATACAGTGCAAATATATAGTATAATATTATTATTAGTATTATCCATTACATACACATAGAAATTAATTTACATTTCAAATTAATAGAAAGTACATACAAGTAAGTAAGTACAATAATATGACAAAACATTTTGTTTTAAATAATTACAATATTTAAGTGGTGTGATTCCAGTTTCGTTTATACCTATATCAAGTCATAAGTATAATCAATTTTTTTTTTTTAGTTTTTCACAGAAAATGAAGACACGTTTGATATTGTTATTTGCCATATGCTTCCAAACAATACATTATAGTTTTGAAGCGTCTTTTGCTTGTTCAGAAAATACTGATAGTTACTCAACATCGTCCAAACCAATTCATAAGTACCATGATTGTGAAATGGAACATAACCTTTTTAACATTGGGAACAATTCCAATAGTACCATGTGGATAGGTCATATGATTGCTATTCTAATGGAAGGATTCACGCCTTATTCACACGATAATCCAAAGTGTACTGAAGATGGAAATCTGTACAAGGAACATTTGATTAAGCAAGATTTGTGGGCTGTTCAGAGTGAGTATCGTCACATATAATTTTCCATAAATACATTATTAAAATGTTGATGACACTTTCATTATTTTAATTTATATTTAAAAAAAAACCGTTTCTAATAGCTTTACACAAAAAATTGAATTTACATATTAAGAAAAGTTAAAATCTTCTGATAACAACAATGTACGAGTATGTTGAGTTGATGATTTGTAATTGAAAAAGTTTAATATTTTGTTTCTAGTGTATGCTTCCTCAGCCAAATATCCCGGCGGCCTTTTAACTGGTATTACATATGAAATGGGACACTATGATCAGTGCTTGAGAGCGCAATCAAAAGAGTTAAACATATACAGCGCGTATGTTCTGCCTAACATTCGGTTTGGAACTTCTCAGGTAAATGGCTGTTCGTCCGAAATGAAAAATAACGAAAGATCTGCACAAGGGCGGCTACAGAGGTCCTAAACAGGGGGGGGCAATATATGTATATGAATAAAATAAATGTATAGGAATAGCTAGGCATAGGAATTGTTTTATTAAATGTCGTCATGAAAATTAGATATGTACAGAAATCAGCCATACTGATGAATGTGATGGGTTTTATTGTTTTAGAAGACACCTACTTTTAATTTTGAATGAAAAACTTAGGTGTTAGGGGTAGTCAGGATTTTCAAATATTCGATTTTTTAATTTGTATTTTCTTAAAGTATGATGTCTTGAAAATATTATCTGAAAATTTTAAGTTAATCAAAGGAATAGATAACTCGATGTAAGTAATTAAATAATTTAGTTTTTTATACATGAATCGAGTATAAAACTTTTCAAATAAGTTTTTCTCAAAACTATTTCTTCAAAGACGGTGACCACTGTAATTCAAAAACCACTTCACAGATTTGAATGACATTTATACAGCTCATTAAAAGCATAAAAAACTAGTGCCTGATCAAAGGTTTTTTTTTTATTAAAATCAAATTTTTTTGAATCATCTAAAATCAATCAAATCTAAAAAAAATCATTAGTTTAATAGTTAATCGTAGAATATAGCAGTTAATATCATATATCTTTGTATGTGTACTGTGTCAAACCCCATAAATAACCGGTTGTAGATAAAATGTGGCGCTTCGGATGCCGTAAACACTATTTCAATAAAATAAAAATGGACAATTTTCAAAAGAAAAATAAATGTTCATGGTAAATACAATAACGACCATCTCTCGATAACTTGCATGAACAAAATTTTAGTCACAATTAATTACAAATGGAATATTTGATACTTTTTTTTTAACGGGGGGGGGAGCAATTGCCCCTATTGCCCCCCCCTTGTATCCGCCCTTGGATCTGCATTGGAATATTTGAAAGTAAGATTTATTTTTATTTTTAATTTTGCTATTTTTGATCACTTTTTGCCCACTTTCAATGAGCTTTAAAACTTAAAAACGGTTACTCAGCAAACTTATTAGGTCCTCAACTTCAGACACCGTTTTGGAGCCTGTATTTCCCAAGCAAGCAAAAGTATTTGCAAACGCCAATTTTTACTTTTAATTGTTTACAAATAATCTGAATCATACTCGGTCCCCAATTATTTGTGTAGTAAGTAGTAACCCATACTTATCAGCACTTTCATGGCATTTTAAATAAAACATGCCACAATTCATGGGTGAATTGTTCTTGTAGTAAAATTATTTTAGAATATTTTTTAGAAAAGCATGTTAATAAAAAGTTTTTTTAAAATTATTTATTTTTCAAATTGTTTTTATATAATGATTTTTCAATTTTCCACAAATTTAATATCCCAATTTAATAATTTTTACATCAACTTTTAACACTTAAATATGGTAACGCATACATTTCATTATCTTTTTAAGTTGAAAAGAAACATTGCTTTGTCATAATATGTTTTGTGGTCTTTAAAAACGTAACATTTATTACTTTTTGTTTATCTGCAATGTGGAAATTAAATTTTTTTTTAGACAGCTGGCAATTTTTCAAGACATCATCAGATAGATAACACTTATTGGGCACTATGCATCCCAGACTCTTGTAATGCCCAAGACGTACAGATATCAGTGGAAGAATTGTTGACGCCTACATTTCAACGTTATAATGTATCGGTCAAAATTTCTGTTAATCCTGCTCTATATACATCAAATAGAATATCTGATGCAAAACACACAGATGGTTACCTAATTGCTTTTTGGTAAATGGTTTTTGTTGAAACTAAAGCTACCTCTATTTCTATACTAATCTAAATGTATCCACTAAATTTAACCTAATTACCATTTATCGCCCCCCCTTATATAAATTATATAATTAACATTCTATGTACTATTTTATAGCTTGATTTTGATTCTGATCATATTACTTAACATATTTGGCACTTTGTACGAAATGAACGTTATTGGTAACCAATATGTTAATAGCCCCATTCTAAGTGAGTTTTATAAATCTACTGAACAATTAATTTATTATAATTAATGGTGTTACTTACAATTTTTTCGTACAGAAACTATTTTACGGTCGTTTTCTATAAGGACGAGCATTAATCAAGTATTTCAAAAACCAAAAGAAAGTGATTTGGCTGCTATTAATGGACTTAAAACATATTGTGCAATCATAATAGTTTGCATGCATAGAGTTTTTTTTACTATACCATTGAATGCAACAGTACCTCCTTACTTTATGGAAAACGTAATAACAATGTTTTATTTTAATTTGATTCATACAGCATCACAATGTAATATTACGATAATATTGTGCACACCAAGTGTGTGATGCTGTATTAAACTCTACTGGAATTAGGTGGGGTCAACTGCACAAGTGTTTAGTGCGTACAGTGTGTATGCATTACAGGTCTATACTTAAACTTAGCAAATAAATTTAATTCAATTTCAATAATTATATTTATAATATTTTCAATAAATGATTTAATTCAATAATAGTATAATATAAAATATTGATTGTTTAGCTCTTCTGATTAAACACAATATTATGATAAAAAAGAAAAGAATACTGTTAAAGGCCTTAGCCTTTTGGTTTAAAGTTAAAAATAAAGATAAAACGATAAAATATAATATCTTGGAGTGGATACAAGGGAAGGGGGGGGGGGTGAATTCCCACCTTTATGTACTTAAATTGTATGCATTAAAAGTGTGAGTTTTTTTTATTATAATATAATATATATTTTTTACTATGTAATCGTTAACTCCTTGACTATTGGTTACATGTATTGAAAGGAATGTTTTTTTTCTGGCTCCTCCCTTTTATCATTCATAGATTTACTACTGGTAGTCCCTATGGCTCGAGTTCTAACTAAACCGGTAATAATTTTTTATACAAATATATTAAGCAGCCTCTGTGGCTTGACAACAAATTAATGAAAGTCAATTCTACTACGTCATGGTATATAATAAAACCTAACCTACCATTTTAAAAATGTTTTTCTATATAATTAAAATTGACTAATATTTTACCAATTAATAACGTAGTTTTACTGTATTTTTAGCTGGCGACAAATTTTCGGCGTAGTTGGATGAATTTAGTCGTTGTTGTCGAAATATTTTTTGTAATATCGGGATTTTTTATGTACATTACTGTAACCAACCGATTGAATAAAAACAGAAAACTTAATATTTTTTACTTATTCTTTTATAGAATTGCGAGGTAAGTTTATGTTAAAATAAATACAATTTGGTTCTTTTTGTCATTAACATGTAACTTAGAACACAAGTTTAATAGTATCGATTTTTAATTTTATGTGATGAAATTCGAGGCTAGAGTGTTTAAAAACTGATAATACTCATTCACCTACAACAAGTTTGAGAAAAACTATTTTATTTCTATTATATGTTATTTTTTTAATTCATTTTTAGACTTCTGCCTGTAGATATAATTGTCTTATTGCTGTTTGTTGGGTTGTTACCTCACATGGGAGATGGGCCACTTTGGAAATTGTACGCAGTCTCGGAGGCCGAAAAATGTCGCAAGAATTGGTGGAAAAAAATTTTATTTATTGATACTTACTCAGAAAAATTTGGAGATAAGGTAATAAAACATATTATCTTCTTCTTCTTTATCTTCGCTTTACACTCCCAACTACATGGGATGGCCACCATAGTCCTACACCTCCATAGAGCTCGGTCTTCTACATCTCGTTAATCACCCCTGCTATCATCATGTCACTCTGTATTCCGTTTACCAATCTTTTCTTTGGTCTACCTCTTCCTCTTTTTTCCTCTTTATCCATCTTTATAACACCTCTCACTGCCTCTGCCTCATCTCTTCTCATAACATGACCGAACCATCTCAACCTATTCTCTCTCATTTTCTCCACAATTGATGCAACTCCTAGACATTTCTTATTCTATCTTCCCTAGTCACTCCACTCATCCATCTTAACATTGTCACCTCCACTACACTCATTCTCTGTTCCGTTTTATTATCTACTGCCCAACATTCCGACCCATATAACATTGCTGGCCTCACTGCTGACCTATAAAGTTTACCTTTCAATCTTATAGGCATCCTTCTGCCACACAATACACCCGACGGTCCCCTACACTACATCCATCCACATATTATTCTATTTTTCTGTACCACCGATCCTAAGTACTTAAACCTAGCTTCCTCACACACTTCATGATCACCTATCTGCATTACCTGTCTTACTCTATAACTTTCTCCAAAATCCAACACGATTGTCTCCGTTTTACTCCTACTAATCCTCAGTTCTTTCCTTTCAAGCGCTTCTCTCCACTCTTCAAGTCTCTTACCCAATTCTTCCGGACTTTCCCCCACTAACACTATTGCACCTCCCCTTGTATATATTTCTTAATCTCTTCCATTACTAAAGAGAACAAGTAAGGACTCAACGCTGAACCTTGATGCACACCTACTCTTACACTAAAATCTTCAGTTTCTCCACACACAATCTTCACTCTTGTATTTGCCTCTTCATACGTTTTCTCTATGACTTTCACATACACCCTCGGAACTCCTTTTTTCCTCAACGTCTACCTTAAAACCTCTCTGGGAAATTTATCATATGCCTTTTTTAAATCTATAAATACCATACACAGTTTTCTTCTTTTCTCTCTGTATTTTTTCACAATTTGCATCATACAAAATATTGGCTCCATAGTTTATTTCCCTAGCATAAACCCAAATTGATTCTTCGATATTGTAGTCTAACTCCGTATTCTCTTTTCTATCATCTTTTCCCAAACCTTCATACTATAACTAATCAGTTTTATACCTCTATAATTTTCACACTCCTGCACATCTCCCTTGCCCTTAAATATTGGTACCAGGATAATTTTCCTCCGCAATTCCGGCATTTTCCCATCTACAAACCCCTTATTATAGAAACCTGACAACCACCCTATGCCAAAGTGACCTAACACCTACCATACCTCCACTGGTACCCCATCCGGTCCTATTGCTTTCTTCTTTTTCATCTTTCGAACCGCACTCCACACTTCCTCCTTCCTAATTAAGTCTACAATACCTAAATTCCACGCTACCTGTTCTCTTTCCTCACCCCTTGGAATTTCCTCATTCAATAGCCTTTCAAAGTACACTTTCCATTTTTTTTTTCACATCCAAATGACACGTCAGCACTTCTTTATGTTCGCCTTTCATACACCACATATTCTGGAAATCCCGGGATCTCTTTTCCCGAATCTTGGCCAAATTATACACTTCCTTTTTTCCTTCTTTTGTTCCCAATCTCTCATACAAACTGTCATACTTTTGGAACTTTGCTTCCCTAACTACCTTTTTTGCTTCTTTATTTAATCTTTTGTCTAATCAATTCTCTATCCTCCTGTCTTTTTGCCATTATTTATACTGGGTCTTTTTCCTCATATACCATTTACTACCCTATTTCAAATTTCATCTACATTTCCCAACAAGCTCCAAACTACTTCTTCCTTCATTTTCCTCACTACCAAGTTTTCTTTTTCACATAATAAAACATATTATAAGATGAAATATATAGTTATAATATTATACTCTCTAGTTTTTAATAACCCCCTTCGTTAGTGTATTAGGGTTAATTAAACACCGTGTTATTTAATCACATAAGTAATTTTGTGATAAATTACTCACTTACATAAAGTAAAAATAAAATCTGTACAATTGATAAAATTGCATGATAAAATTCTTCTGAAAAAGCCAGTATAGTGGGATCGGGTATAGTGAAATAAAAGCATAGTGGGACAGAGAAGTCACAGATCTACATGAATTATTTTAAATAAAAGTTATAAAATCACTTTCAAATAAACGCTTTGAAGCTAATTTGTAAACACTGCACCTCACTTTAATACTTGTTTACAGTGCTGGTTTATATTGTGTTTGGTTTGAAAATACTAACTACTGATTCGCATCAAAGCGTTTATTCAAAAGTGACTTTATCACTTTTAGTTGTAATCATTCCTGTAAACCTGTGACCTCCCCAACCCAACTTTGCTCAATTCCTATTATGCTCTGACCCTACTGTACTGGCTTCTTTTTTAATTGTATTAAAATGTACGGGGATAATTGTAATCGAAGCTAAAAAACTATTATATACCTTATATATATATATACACATAGGTTATAGTTTTTAAAATCACTTTATATATATATATATATGTATTTAATATACAGAGTAATCCAAATATGGTGAACCACTCAATATCTCATAGGGTTTAATATAAAATTACAATTATTTTTTCATATTTTTTTTATACAATGTGATCTCAATTTTTCACAATTTTTTTGTTTTTACTCCCCTCCGAATTTAACTTTTTGATACCAACTTCTTTATCTTAAATGATAACGAATATATTTTATTAATATTTTAAATTGAGAATAATGTACTAAAAATGTTGACTGGTCGATAACTAGTTTCGGATAACTATTTTAAAAGTTATAAGAGTTTTAAAGTAATGATGGGAGGGGAAGTGCGGTTAGGAAATGCGCGCATATAAAAATGATACTACATTCCATCATTCCTCCTGCCCTAAGCGTGAAACTTTAATAACTTCAAAAATAGTTATCGACCAGTCAACATTTTTAATATAATATTCATAATTTAAAAACTTAATACAATATGTTACCATTTAAGTTTCAAAAGTTGCTATAAAATAAACTAAGTTAGAAGGGGGGTTAAAACAAAAAAAATTGTGAAAAATTAAGATCACATTATATAATTAAAAAATGAAAAAAAAATTGTAATTTCTTATTAAACTCTATGAGATATCGAGTAGTTCACAATAAGTGGAACACTCTGTATACATAGACGGCGTCATGCAAACGTGTGGTCATAACACAACGTTTTAGTGCTCTACTGTAAAATCATGAAAACTGAGATAGGTGTTGTTGCAGTATCAGCGACGATATACATATTTATACATATTTTATGGAATGTATTTTTTTAATCAAATGATTACTTTTTCAGTGTATGCTGATTTCATGGTCTGTAAACTGCGAAGTACATTTTTATGCAATCGGAGCACTTATAACGTATGCAATATGGAAATGGCAAAAAATTGGCCTTTGGATTTTAGGCATAATGTTTGCAGCATCTATTTACATACCGGCAATGACGATTTACACAAATAATATAACGGGGATTTTGTCATATAGGTACTAAAATTAATGATTCAACAATTAAAATCGCAACCAATAATTGAAAACCAATTTACGTTGCTACCTAAACGTCAAATGGTGAACTTTAAATGAAAATCGAACGACTTGAAATTTATTAATACAGATTTTTACATGCTTTTCTTTAGCTCGCTAACACGTTTGTACGGGTATTTTTCAAATCTTGCTAAATTAATTTATCCCACTTCCCGATGTCTTATAGGGCTGAAACTTGTCACAGACACTCGTCTTAGATGACACTACAATATCCTGGAATCATTTTGGGACTCGGATATCCAACTCACCCTACACAGGGTCAAATGTGGGGGTCATTTCACTAAAATTTCATTTTTTTCCAAATCATCCAAAATTAATTTAGTTATCTATTCAGTAAATATTAAATACCTTTAATAGAACTAAAAAGTAAACAAATAAAACAAATAAATAAAAAAAAACTTTTTTAAAAACATGCTTTTCTAAAAAAAATAATAACAAAAAATTATCTAAAAAGTAAAAATAATATTATTACAAGAACAATTTATCAATCAATTGTAGCATATTTTATTTAAAATGTCAATTGCTTTAAAAAACAACTGAAAATGAACTACAATTTTAAATAATGTTAAACATTTTAAATTTTTTACTAAAAAAAAGCGTGGGCCCTATTCAACAAAGTCCCTAATAAATTTATCAGATAATGTTTTATATTGTAAGTTCCTTTGTAATTTAAATTTAGTTTAATATTTGTGTGTGACACATACATTTCATAATACTTAACTCAATGTATTTGGACTTTGTTGAATAGGGCTCACGCTTTTCTTTTTAGTCAAAAATTAAAGATGTTTTCAGTTGTTTTTCAAAGTAATTGACATTTTAAATAAAATATGCTACAATTGATTGGTAAATTGTTCTTGTATAAAATTATTTTTATCTTTTTAGATCATTTTTTAGTATTATTTTTTTTAGAAAAGCGTGTTTTTAAAAAGTTTTTTTTTATTTGACATAATGTTGACAATATAGGATACTAATATAAATATTATATATAAATATAATTTATAGCTTAAATAAAATTCGAAATTTTAGGGAAGTGTTGAATTATTCAAATGACCCATATGTCAATCTTGTATACATTAAGAGTCACCAGAGGATTACAACATACCTGATTGGAATAGCAGCGGCACACATATATACAAAACTTAAACGCGATGGGGTCAAAATATCCGCTGTGAGTAATGTTATACTTGTTTTGAATAGCATTACAGTTTTAACTTTTAAGCTACTTTGTAAATATTTATTTGTAATTTTTTTTTAGCGGAAGAAGACATTTGGCTATTTTATTTCCCAATTATTGATTGTTATCAGTGTACTTGCAACGGCTTCGTTTAATTTACCCGGAATTGAGTACAATGTGTGGCATCACGTGTTATACTTTACTTTACACAGGATCGTAATTGCAATTTGCGTATCATATATTATCGTCGTTAATGCGATATGTGGAGACGGTATGTAATTTTTGATTTTGTTTCAACATCCGGAACAAGTTAACATAATAAGCTCGAGGAGCGGAAACGGCACTCGAAGAAAAAGGGACTAAGATTGTGTACAAACTAAACAGAGTATTGTATAGAATATGTGTTTGGAGTAAGAAGACAAGAGGTTGACGGGACAGAACGAGTAAGCTAATTTGATATTCCAAAGTAGAGAGTATGCATAGGCGGATGAGTCACATACAGGTCTTGATACAGGACACACTAAGAGAGAATAGACATAATATTATGAAGAGCAGAAGTAGTAAAAATGGCAATATGAATAAACGTAGGAGAAAAAAGAAGACCGAAAAGATGGTTGTGGAACGCGATTGAGAATGATATGAGAGCTGGTGTTCTATACTAAGATGACGGAGGAGGTCGTGTAGAAAGGACGCTTAGGATAAGTTTGAGGATTATTGTACAGTTTAGGGTAGAAAGGCCTAAAACACATAATAACAATAGTATACATTAACTTTACAAAACAATTTATATGTATATTAGATTATAACTATAAAAAAATGTGCTTTGTTATTATTATTATTCCTGTCAAGGTTGGGTTTTAAAATATTTAGAGCTAATATTCAAAATTATTAGTAAGCAGTAATATTAGAAAATATAGTATTTTACATGTAGGAAAATATTGGTATATTACTATCTGCGTGATTGGATTACGTTCAAATGTAATATGTTTATAAAAATCAACCTTTTTTGTTTTTAATTCGACAGGTTGCGTCGTCAAGTTCTTTAAAAGTCATTTTTTTTCTGTAATGGGAAATCTTACTTACAGTATGTATTTATGTCATCACCTGTTTCAAGCACAGTCAGTGTCTTCGATTAGAACATTAATGGATATGGACAAATGGATTTTAGTATGGACTAAATTCTATTAAAAATAAATTATATATGCCTTTTTGTTAACAGATAACTTCTTTAGTACCTTAGAAATTGCCCATATTAATGTAATGTAATACATATGTATATTATGTATATTTTAGAGTCGCTATATAATAAGTGATGTAATGATGTCGATGTTTGGCAGCTTACTCATAGTTTTGTTATTCGAAATGCCATGCCAAGCGATAAGATGTAAATTGGATACTTACTTTCAAGTAGGTCATACTAAAACAATTAAATAAGTTACCCTAGTACAGTAAGATTGGAGCATAGTTTGACGGGGAGGTCGCAGGTATACATAAATTATTGTAACTAGAAGTGACAAAATTACTTTTAAATAAACGCATCGATGTGAATCTGTGAATAGTAGCTTCAAACAAGTACAGTGAAAACCAAGCACAGTATAAACAGCGCAGTAAGAAAGTGTTATACGCATATGGGTAATTAAGGGAGGTGCAATGTTCAGAGATAGAAAACCCAATATCGATAAAAGCACTTTACTTACTTAATGACTATTATGTGCTTTAAAATTAATTTTTAGTATTTGGGTGGATACGATTACATTTGATCAACTACCCATAAAAAGCTTGCACAGAGCAACATGTAAATTTTTAATTAACTACGGCCAAAGTGTGATTTTCCTTTTTTTTTGGGGGTTTTCCGAATTAAAAAAAAAAAGTTTGACTACAGATTTTATTTAGAAAATTGTATATGTTACAGTTCTAATCTAGATAAAAAAATCTAAGATCTAGATCTAAAAAAATGAAATTAAAAAAACAGTTCTAGCTCTTCTAGGGGAAAGGGTTTATGATATTTTTTTAGTTTGTTATAATGAGTATCAGTAGTACAATTTATAAAGAATATTCCATACAAATTTGCAACTAATTCTCAAACAAGTTTATAGAGAAGTATAATTTTAAGTTAAAAAATATGTAAATATATTTTTTTTCTCGGATTTGAAGGTCATTTTTTAAACTTTTGGCCCAATAAAGTACCTTTTAGGTACGATTTCTAATTTATAGAGATGCTACTCGAAGAAATTGGTTGAGCGGTTCAAAAGATATCGTCCAGACATAAAAAAAAAATAATAATTAAAATAAAATAAAAACATATCATTGTGAATACAATACCTTCTCAGCTAAAATAATTCACATGTATTTTTTTCAGAAAGTAAAAAATCAGCCTTGTCCTAACACATACGAAAAAGATAATGAGAAAAAAATGAAAATTGGGTAATTGTTAAATCCAGTTGTCCATAAACTCCATTTGGTGATATAAGGTATAATTAATAAAGGAAGAAAGTGCACCGTAGCAACTCAATTGTATCATTATTATTATCTGTACATACCGTTGAAATACGCTATCCAAGTAGAATAAATAATAAAAATTGAATTAAATAATTTATTCTGTATCGCGAATTTTGATCATTTTAAGTAAGAAGAATTTGATAAGTTATCAAGAAGTTACCGTTGTCATGATCTAGTTACTGTTGAATAAAGTTTTAAAATTTAAAATTTCATTTTTTATGCAACATAAAGCAGAAATAATAATAATACTATAACATTATTTAAGTTGTTTTTCATTGAAGTTAAAAGCAAAATGTCATAATTGTTTAAACATTGCTTTTTATGAGTACAAATGTGATATTATGTACAGTTTTTTTAAAATTTGTTTTTTTTTTTTTGTTATATTATGTCTGCAGTAGAACAAACATTTTTAATCCTAATTCATGTTAATAAGTTACATTTTTGATAGTATTATTGTGCTGCACCGTTAACAGTACAACTAAAATTACTTATGCAAAATACATTTTGCGTTCAACATTTTCTTCTCTAGGTATTTTAATTGGACGATAGCACACGCCCGTATGAGCTGTTGACCGACTAGAGGGCAAACTCACGAGAATGAAATAAACCCACAACTGCAACATAAAATATTGACCTGATTCACTTGGTATTTTTTTTTTAATCAGTTTCAGTATAGCCTACAGGGTATTTACATTTTTGTTATCCATTTGATTGATAAAAGATGTTTAAAAGCAGATACATATGCGAAAAATGTCTGAAAACAAACAATATTATATATCCTTAGGCAATATTTATGTAGAGTAGTAATTATTGTGGTTTGGTGTGTAACAGATTTTAATTTCTAAAACAACACACGGACGAGCAAACATTATTAATTTTTTTTGGTCGGTTAACCTTATTTTTGGAGAAATAACCTCCTTGTTTTTTTTACACGATTTTGACGGGAAACGGATTAATAGCAAACGGTAAATAATTGGTATATGATTTTATGGCCTTTGGTACGAGCGCCAAAATGTTCTTGATTTCCCCCGTTATTGTTTGTGTTCTGGATTGATCGGGTTATAATATAAAACACTAATATTATATTGGTTTCGGAAAGAACAACTAGGTTTGCAGACACGGCTCTTGACATAATGTAATGCCGTTGTTTTCAAGTATGCGAACATACACATTACACACACTACACAGGCCGAGCCGAGTTCGTGCTGTGCATCGCCAATGCACATAATAATATAATATAATACCCTCAATAATACAACGTATAATATGTATATAGGCAAAGAGCAAAAAGGTTTTCCTATTGGCCGGCTTTGGTCGTAAAAAAACATTTAAAAAAAATCTAGTTTTAACCAAAAGAATTTTGCCGCTTCCTCGACCAGATAAGTTTTATTTTCCTTTTTAATAATATAATATAAATATTATTATTATAATTTTTTTTTTTCATTTAACGATTGTCGGCCGATCGGTAGGCATTAACGAGCCAAGTATAATACCAACGATAATAATGTGTACATATATATACATTGCGTTATAATAAAACTCAGGTGGCAGATTACACGCGTAGAGAAGCCTGAGGGGTGAACACTGTCAGCTACACGAACCCGTATACCGCGTGTGTGTGTAAATATTCAATTAAAATCATTCTGCCGTGTGTTTACAGTTTACACACAATCTGATATGCCGACCGATGGCCGGGTCGTTAAAATAACCTACACTAATCCAAAGACCGTCCGACGGTAACAATATTATTATTATTATATTAACAATATTGAAAAACGGTTTTTGCTCAGATGGAAACGACCTAAGCCCTAACGTACGATCGCCGAACTCAATTAATGTAATGTTAAATTTTCTGCATTTTGAGTTCACATTAGTCGGTTTTTTTTTGTTTACGAGCGACTTCTTTAGTCGCGTCTCTATGGCAGTAAAACCGTAGAAATCACGGACGATTTTTGAAGAGCGGTAATTGCTCATCAGCGATACCCTATTTTGCTCGTGCTTGACTTTCCTTTGAAACGTCCTTAATCGTCCTTTGTAAAGTTTTAAAATGTTGTTAAAAATCGTTTAAAAGCTCTTGATGTTTGAAAAAATGCATACAATTTCCGTCTAACCGGTGCTAATACAGAATATATTAATAATAATGGTATCTACTCTGCAGCACTTGGCACTTTTACTACGCGGCCATTAAAATATTCGCGTTTTCGTTGAAATCATTTTCCAAAACTCTTTGACGGTGATAATAATTTCAAAGAAACCCGTCAACCCGGTCGGGTCTTCGTCGTCACTTGGCGGTTTTGCGAATTCGTTTAATTAAATATCGCGTACCCATGAACAAAGTGTAATAATATAATATAACGGGCTGCCCTGCAGCCATACTGTTGTCACCTGCCCGGGTATACGTGCCAAGTATACGTGCTGACGTGGGTGTAAAGAAGTTTATTTGGATAAGTATAGATGTTGCAGGGAACATAAACTCGGTCGCAGGGTCCCTCGTCGTGTCGTTGCAAATTGAACTGCTAGCACAACTAATGTACTGTGTACATCAAACAAGGTTTGTTACAGTTATTGTTATTATGTATAAGTAGTGGAAAATCACAAGAAATCAAAAACTTTTGAAAATTTACTCTAGCATACTTTTTTGTTTGTTTTATATTTGAAAAAATTGTTTTAACATTTTTGTTTCCACCGTATAGGTATATAACATTTGAATAACGTTAATGTTTTGTCTCGATTTTCAATTTATATTAAACAAACAAATAATAAATCATATTTCATTATTTACTTTGTTAACATTCATTTAAAAACTCAATATATAACTAACTAATTATTATCACAGAATTAATGAAATTATTCATATTTTATTCTGTGCTATTATTGTATAAATATAAATTTTTACTTATTTCATTATTATTAAGTATTAAGTGCTTCAAGAGAATAAAAAAAATGTTTTTGAAATTCATAACTTTGTTTTGTTTAATGTGCTTTTTTTCTCAGTAAAATTACAAGATCCTATTGACCATGTGGTAATTGCTCTTTTTCAACTTAAACTGTATTTCAATCTAAAACTGAAGATGAATTGAAATTGTCTTTAGCTAGGATTTGGATTTTTTGTACTTGTTTTAATACTGAATTGGACTTTTTTTCCAACAAATTCTTTCAAAAAATCAATTAGAAAAAGGGATTTGTTAAATATTTCTAATATGCACTGGAAAAAATATATAGACACTAAAAAACCACACCTAACATGGAGCAACTCAACTTTGTCATATTTGGATTTCCTAAATATCGTATTTTTAACTAAACATCTAGTTGTCTCTTATAAAATGTATACTTAGTACTTGATTATTTGTTCAATGTAACACCTAACAAACTATGATGTATACCTATTTCTTTAACATTACAACAATTTTATATTATTATCATTATTTTTTCTTTATTGTCATTTTTTAAGAAAAGATTTTTACACCGACCCATCGATTAACATTTTTAACATTTTAAAACGTGTAATCGTTTCATTTCTACAGTGCTAAAAAAACCCAATTTTGTCGAAGCCAAAATGAAAAAATTTACGGTTTTTATAAAACACTTGCAAAAACAGCCAACCGGCATACGCTGATTAATAGTATGTATATTGTCTACATAGAAACTTAAATTATAGAAGTTCCAACCGATACTTTCTATTACTTGTTTACATTACAATAGACATACATACAAACCAATGGTAAAAAACATATTTTATTATTTACTTTGTTAACGTTTATTTTTAACTGCAGCAGTATGAATACTAGCTATTTTTTATTGCGAGAATTCATTTAGTTTTTTCGTCATTAACTATCAAGTCTTTAGCGCATTGAAAAAATTAAAAAATGTTTTTAAAATCCACGGTTTTGTTTTGTTTAATGCTCTTTTTTCTCTTAGTAAAATCAGAAGATCCGATTGAAGACTTTGTAATTATTATATTTTCAACGTTAATCGAAACTGTTAGGACTACAATCGCTTTGGCTGTATTGAATTTGTCTTAGCATTTTTTTCCTATACTGTTTTCCTAATACTGAGCCGGGTTATTTGAATTTTATAATATCCTGATTAATTTATGGGTACTGTGTTAGTATGCAAAGCTAAGGAAGCATTTGTTTTAATATGATGTGTTTTATTTAAATTAATCGTTTTGATTCGATTCATGATAACTTATATTGAACGCTGTCTGAAATACCTACATTATATTAATAAGGATACCTAATTACTGTTTATGTTTACATAATATAATGAAGTAACTGTAACAAAACGTTTTTAGACGATACATGATATATGGATCAATCTGGAAGAAGATGGTTTTGTGTACTTCAGTAAAATAAGTTCTAAATTCCCTGAATTAGCCAGAAAAAAGATTAACGAGTGGCTTCAAAATAAACCAGGTAAATTGATATTATACATATTTATAAATATAAAACTGTTTATCGAAAAATATAGGTACAGGATCTTAAATATTATGATATGGTATATGGCCAATGTATTATAAAGAGAACCTTATAACATATTTTTATAAAATCGTTATACCTATGTGCAATTAGTAGTGTCCATAGTGAAATATATTGATATTCAATATCGTATATATGTATTGAAAAACCATTAAAAATGTTATCTTGGTTTTAATTGTGTAAAATACATTTTCAGATTAAAAAACCAGTACAGTGGGGACGGAGCATAGTGAGGGTGGGGAGGTCACAGGTTTACAGGAATTTTTAAATCTGAAAGTGATTAAATCACTTTCGAAAAAACGCTTCTATGCAAACCAAGTGTAAGCCAGCAAAGTTAGAAAGTATTAAATCGAAGTGCTGTATTTACAAAGAAGCACCAAAGCGTTTATTTGAAAGGGGTTTTATCATTTTTATTTATAATAATTCCTACAACCCTGTGATTTCCCCGTCCCCACTATGCTCCATCCCCGCTATATGCCCCGACCCCGCTGTGCTGTTTTTTTTTTTTTGCAAAAAAAGTGGACAAAATATCACATAATTAATGTCTTGTTAAATTTACATGTACAAAACAAAATGTAACTAAAAAAACCTTTTCATACATCCTTAAATTGTAATGGGTGGGGCAGTGAAACGGGCGATTTTCCCATTTAAATACATTGGAAAATCACTTGTTTCACTGCTCCACCCTGTATATTAATTTCTTGTTGTGTTCTAAAGAAAAATTGTACAGTGATGGAGAAAACAATACATTTTACTTACATAATTTATATTACATATTAGTTAAATATTACTAACGTTTATAGCCACTAGCTGTCGGCGGTTCCTGTTGCATTTACATATTGAACAATAACCTTATATGGAGATTTTAAAAATTGTGTTTTTTTTTTTTTTTAGTAGTATTATCGTTTATGATTTTTAAATATTATTAAAATATATCTTATTTTGAACGTAGTAATAAAATGAAGAAATATTTTATACAAAATCAGAGTTACGAGTTGATAAACTAAAAAATAAAAAAATAGCACGAAGCAGATTATCTAATATTGGATAATTTAAACAATCAAGCGTGAATTTCTTTAGACGAATAACTGCAAAACATTACCCCCCCCCCCCCCAAAAAAAGTACCAACTAGATAAAATTTGTGATTCATAGAGTTGCTACCCGAAGGAATTGGTAAAGTATTAAAAAATTACAGTGTTTACAGACACGAACAAAGCTCACATCATAAGAGAACCAATACCTTCGCTGCTCTGCGTCGAAGCTAAAAACAAATAATTTATTTCGGGAAAAATTAATATTTTCTTGGTTAGAATGTAAAATGTAAAGTTAACCAAACGTCTAAAACAAACTATTAATACGAAATTTGTATTTATTTTAGTGAGCGAAATCAACTACGAAAAATTTTCTAAAATACGTAGACAATTCTTCGGAGAAACTGATGATGAGGTAAATTTAAATATAATTTACCTTTTAATAAGTTAAATTAATGCAATATTTGATCGGTAATTATATAGGTTAACGGCGTGCACATTTTGTCAATATAATAATAATAATACACTTTTTTTTACTACATTATAACAAGAGTTCAGCTTATGATAGTCAATCGAAAATTATTGTTTATATGTAACTGTATAATGAAGTATAATTTATACAATTTTAGATAAAAGATCTATGGGAGCGAATGGAACAAAAGGATTATACCAACATGCAAAAAATTAATTTTACAATCGATTCCGATGTGGTTAAACAAAAGATGAAGGATTGGCTTAAGAAAAATGTACAAGGTAAATAGTATAATATTATATAAATATAAAACCGATAATAGGAAAATATACCGCGTATGCCCTGTTATATTTTTATTCGGTCTTTAAAACATTCAAGCGCAATTAGTCTCGATAATTAATTAAAATAAATAAATCTTAATGCGTTAATTTATTAATTTTAGTAAGACGTTTGGATTACGCAACGTTTAAGAATATGATGGAAAACATCTTCGAAAAAGACGAGCGGGTAGACATTCTTAACGCTATGGGAATTATAGGCTCCACTAAAGAAAGTAAGTTCAAATTATAAACACATGTACTCAACTCGTATACAATAGAGTAAACCTAACGTAACGGTCCGATTGCAACTTAATAATTATTGTTGTACTATTATGTGTTGTGACCTTAGTAAAATTGTACTGTATTATTATTACAGCTGAACAAACTGTATTTTTAACTTTACGAGTATACTGGGTAGCCTGAAAAATTATTAAATTTAATTATTCATTATGTTTAAGAAACCACTAAATACCTAACCTTTAATGAGCGTTCATGCAACCCACCATAAGAGTTTTACACAATCTTGCTAGAATTAAATTTGTCTTAAGAAAGCACAATAATTTATTTAAAATTAATCATTTTGTCTTGTTTAATGTATACTCTTTTCTGTCGGTCAAAACAAAAGGGCCAATTGATGAAATGGTAATTATTGTTTTTTCAAGTATAATATTGTTAATTTACGCTTTAGTTTTATTGAGTTGTTTGTCTTTACATTTAGCTGATCTTCTTGTAAAGTTTTAATATTGCACGTGACTGTTTTAATTGTACACCCTGTTATTTTTTACTGTGTTGGTTGTGTATAACTAAGAAGGTTACACGAATAAATTACAATTTTTAAATTATTAGTATTTTGAAAATAGGTTCGGGCAAAAAAATTTCGATTTCACATTTTAACAAATCCGTTGGGCCTAAAAATCATTATAATAATAAGACATATACATCATTCATTTTATATATTTTTTTAATACCATAGGCAGTAGGTTATGGTAAGCATAGTTTTAATTGTGGTCTAAAAATCAGTTACAATAATTATATACTGCTTTATTTTTCATTACATTATAATATTATTCAAATGTATGATATTCTAACTAAATAATAATTAATATCACTGTTTTTTGTTTAAAAGTAATGAAGTATAATATTACCGTTTTAGGCTATATATGGTATATGGCAGGCAATCGCTGTTAATGGTGTTGTTGACTTCGATCAAATGTATTCTTCATTCCCTACTTTTGCCGGACAAGAGGTTAACGATTGGCGGGCAAAAACTACCTCAGGTAACTGTTATAACATAGATATAATTAGTATATAAATGTTTCTAGAAATATATACAGAATTGCTTAGGGATACGACAATGTATAAATGGAACCGTCAAACGTATGATATTTTTACTTAGTATTTGTAAATGCAGTTTGCCTCAATAGTTAAAAAATATATTTAAGTAACTATTATAGAATTAAAAAAAGGGATAATAGGCGCATATTATACGAGATGTCTTAGAAATACTCATAATTTGTAAAATATATAGTAAAAAAGAAAAAATATTAATTTGGTTATTTTTTAGTCGAACCGAGGTTCCAGATAAAATTTCTGGCAAAACTTACATTTTATAATATCAAATAAAATACGGTTATGTAAAGTAATAATTCAATTCAGAAATACAATATGTTATATTTTGGAGAAAAACATTTTGTTTTTAGTTAGACAGTAAAATATGAACTTTATTGGGACCACTGAAGCAAACCATTAATACATAATATTTTTTTGTTGATTTTAGCAAACGATTTGAATCGTGTAAGATTTGGTAAAATGATGAAAAGTATCTTTAGTAAGACCGATGGAATGGCAATTCTTAAATTTATGAAACTCCACTGTTACCCCTAAATGAAAGGAAACTTCTTTTGGCCCATGAGTTATAATTTAAATTTGATATGTACTTGTTATTTCACATTTATATATTTCCATTTGTTTATAAATAAACTATACATAATATAATATATATAAAAGTATAATACTAAATTGTAACTTCTATTAAATAAAAAGAAATATTTAGTCAAAACAATATTTTTTTCTTTGCATTTCTATCATTCTTCACACAAATATCCAAGTCAATATGTTAATAAAATTCAGATAATATTACCATGATGAATAAAGTTTAAGTAAAACATTGAAAAAATGTTTAATAACACTTAAACACAAGTTTAATAATTATATATGTATTATGTGGTCGCATATTTTAATCTTTAATTATTTAATAATTTGTACACGATATTCATTAGATACAATAGGTACTATCGATATACGTTGACAAACCAATAAAATATCAAGTCTGGTCTCAAATGATGACTAAAAAACTGAAAATAGTACAATATTAATATTGAAATCATCTTTGATGTGTGGCAAGAGTATACCTACATTTTCGTTCCATTAGATTATGCGGTTGCTTCTTCTCGGGTTTGGCCACCCAAACAATAAATAATTTAATAGCTCATAGATAAATTGCTTAAGGTGCTTAAGCGACACTGACGACTGCAATATCGGCCGAAGGTTTATCTAGGAAATGTTTTATATTGGCTGTATTATTATTAATGTAAAAAAAAAACTGCAGTTGTGACGGCGCTTCGACATATCGTCCGGCAAGCAGCGACGGTCAATTAAACAACTTAGTAAACTGAATAAATTATGTAAACGAGCACAATATAGTATTATCATAATAACCTACTATTATTATTATTGTAAGTATAGACTCTAGCTATAGAGAAACTAGCTATAGTTTAATGTGTATCAGCCGAGAGAGAGAAAAAAAGGAGGAAAACATGTAAATAATTTTAAGACTAAATTATAATTATTTTCGTTTTAACGAAATTGCCTTCGTATAACGAGCAGTGTATCCGAGAGCAGGGATCGTCCGTTTAATTAAAATAATAATTAACTCCAACGGATTGTGCTCTTGTAAATTCATGTTGGCGAAAGCGCGCTGCGGGCGTTTTTGTGTTTGTCGCCCTTAACAAAATCGCACCCACCCAGACCCTCGGATAGTATATGAAATACTTACAAAATTATAATAAGTACCAGATATTTCCACTTAACTCGAATTCGTCGACCGATTTTTATAATGATTTTTGTTAAAATAAACAAAAAAGTTTGGTCGAGACACGAATCAACGGTACTGGAAATTGACACAAGCGGCGAGGTCGAGCATTCAGTATTTTGTACAATAATATATTAAAAATCAAACATATTATCTTTTATACACTAGATGAAGGCGATCTTGAGTTTTGCGCCGCCGCCGCCGCCGTTTTGTAACTAACCTTAGCCAAATAATTAAAACCCTATGCGTTTGGTATTGGAAAAGTTTTGTTTGTTAAAAGTGAACTCGAAAGGCACACCGGCTCTTATGGAAAACGAAAACTTCAATGGGCGTTTGCCAAATGCGAGACTGACCCTTTTGGACACCCAAAGGTGCACATATACGCGTTTACACGCAAGCCCAATCGATTCCGGTGATGCCGTTTTCGACAAATTATATTGGCTACTCAATTATTATTGTGGATAGGCCATAGACCCGTGTAGGTACCGTTGTCTGTTTTATAGCGGCTAGTAGTACCTAGTATTGGTCAGCGAGATCAATTACCGTTTTAAAATTATTACCACCTTCTTGTCTTGATTGGACGTACATAAAATATAAGACCGGTTAATAGTGGCCCAGTTATAGTAGCTGGGTATCGGTTTTCAATCAATCTCAACGCGCACACTCGGACGGGTCTTTACATTATAATGCACTTCACACATTCGCACAGTGGTAAATAATATATATTATAATAACGGCCGGAAACGATCCGTGTAGATGCGGTGGTCTTAACTCAATAGTCGGCCAAATGTGTTGTACTAACGTTATTTTTTAATCAATTTATTTCCACGGTGATAACGTTTATTGTGTGCAAAATAAATAGATACAACGCCGAGTAATCTAGAATTCTCAAGAGTTGCTTGCTTGAACACGGTTTGCGAATATCAGGTATACAAATCAAAGCACACGCCTATACTCTATGCGCGGGTACTTGTGAATTGATTTCCTGACACACATTATGTAACGTTGCAATTTTAAACACCGGTTTCCTTTATTCATTTCATAATTGCACACACTACTTTGTGAGAAAAAAAAACACCAGCAAATTGACGGCTCGTGGATTGATAGGCTTACTCGCTGTCTACGGTGGAACACCATCAATCGTCGGTGAATCGTTCACATTGTCCACGGTTTTAATTTTGTACAATGCTATGGCGACCATGAATAGGCGCCACCATGGTGTAAAAGCTCGGTGGTCCTTGGTGCGGTTTTTGGATTTAAGTTAGGACAATATACATTACTCTATGTAAATGCCTAACGACTCGTAATCAAACATAAAACGGTTTCCCGTTTGTTTGCTCGAGTTCTTTTTGCCCCTTTGAGTCTTTTGGTATTTATTTATTATTATTTTTTTTTTTTGGCCCTCTCTAATGGTGCAAATAAAACACGGAGCCCAACTTTTCGAGTGAACACACACACACACTTTGACTACTTTCGTTGATTCTATTTGCCCGCAAGAGGGTTTTTATGTATTTGTACTGATGCGCTGCATGTAGGAAGTATATATATATATCCGCATCTAGTAATCGAAGGGCTCGAGGTGTTAACTGACAATTTCAAAACTATTCGGCGGGCAACGTTTTAGTCAATATAATGTGCTCAAATTGTTGGGAACTTTTTAAACTCAACACACATTGAACTGCACTCAGTACTACTTTGCTAAGTTGTGTGTATTATATAATAGGATATATTATTGTGTAATAATATATCCTAACACTTTCATTCATTCAATATAAAATCTGCTATTTTGTTATTATATTGACTTTAAACCAAAAGATTTTAACCAAACGCATGAAAAACAGTATAAGTATTATGTTTAGCAGTGAATGGAAATAAAGGACAATTATTATTAGGGGGTAAAATATAGGCAATATTTGACAAATACAATATGGAAGACATTTTATGTAATATAATGTCTGTTAAATACTTAATTTCTTAAACTAGACACTTATATGGCAACGTAGATATTCAATTAAATTAAGAACAATTTTCTGAAAATGCTGACTGGTCGGTAACCAGTTTTGGACAATCACTTTTAACGTTATTAGAGCTTAAAATTGTTAGGACGGAAGGAAGTGTCTGGTTGAGTGATGCACGCAGATAAAAATAATACTTTACTCCACCCTTCCTTCCGTCCTAAACATAAAAGGTTAATACCTATAAAAGAGGTTATTTAGAGATATTAAGTGTGTTACGTTAAATTGATCACTCTGTATGAATCTTATATTTATTATATAATTTTTAAAACAAAAATTAAATAGCCGAGCTTTGTACTCACATAATTTTACAACTTAAACAATATTGTTATAATATGGGTATTTTAGAATTCTGTTCGGTAGACGCGTTCTGCTTAGAATGTGATTTTACGTTTTAGTCTTTATTTGTATAGACTATAGCCTTTTCCGTTTCTCTTAAATTTCAACTTTTCTGTACAAATGTTTACTTTGAATCGTTTTCGCACGAGTTGAAAAATATTTAGATAAAACATGGCATCGAAAAAGAATTAAAACTAGGCCGTGTAAATAGTAATAATGTGTATTTTTCAAAAATATTTTTCTCCGAACAACAACGAATTTGGAGAAACAAAAAAAGTTTGACTACAGTACACTTAAATATCTACCGGTTTATGGTTCCACTTCCAAGTCCAAGTTGGGGACAAAAGGAAAGGACGACTCCTGAGGAAAATATGCGTTGGCCATCAGTTATCAGTATTATCGTGTTAGATACAAGAAGTACTCCAAAACTACCTCCAACTACTGGAACCCGTGTATTGTAAGTGTGTTGTAATAATAGTCGACCGAGTTCACACTATGAAAATATAATAATAACACAGTACATTGTCGTCCGCAGAGCACGTGTGCCGCCGGTATTAATGCTGATGCTGGCGCTTTATTTTTAAAACCGTCCCGAGGGTAAGTGCACCGCAGACGAAAATCCTCTTGTAATCAGTCCGAGACGACGTTGGTCGGATTGAGCGTTTTTAGCTTAAGGATGTTGTAAAGAATTCCTTTGGCGACTCGGTCCATAAATAGACCGAATAGGGTCTGACACACGACCACGTCACGTCCATATACTGTTGCCCATGGCTGGTTGCGACACTCGTCCGTGTTAGTCACGTGGAATTCACGTTTTCCCTGTATATATATATATATATATAGGAAGAAGGGACTCGAATCGGTTGGCTCAATGGCTTGTTTTTTACAAGATGCTGCACCTAAAAAAAAAAAAACAAATACAACCTGAAGGAAAAAAGAGTTGATGGACTTGGTCGCGCCAACTATACAGAAAGAAGTTACTTGTGTATGGGAGAATAGCTGTTAGTCGTTTTAATGCGTTCGGTGTTGGTAGGTTATGCTTGCCATGGGCTATATTAAGTATTATATTGTAGATTATAATATACTATTGTGACCACGTCTTGGATTATATAATCGGCGAATCTCAATACATGGTTTGCGCTCGCCGTAATCCCAGCTTCGTATAGCTGCTGTTTGATGTCTGCAAGAGGAGTGACGTTGTTGTTAACAGTTAAATGTAAATAAAAATAAATCGGATATGGTTGATGTCGAAAAAAGGCAAACAACGCATTGAGTTCGAAGACCGCGATATTAGACTTGAGAGAACTTGGCGCGGTATCGACAAAAAAAAAAACAAATAACCAATTTATAATTAACTCTGTTCGACATTTGGCATTTCAACAGTATTCGGTTTTACATATTGTAAACCGTTAGAAACACATAATATAGCTTTACACTTG